AGCTTGCAGGGACATACAAGTACATCACCAACTAGTCAAGTTGGAAGTGGAAGTTCAAGTTTTACAGAAGAGGTATAACTTGTGATATTGTTTCTACTTCCTAATATATTTCTTAAGTAGACTAACTTTATTTTCATTGTAATAACTAGTGATGAGGCCTACAACAACTACTCAATGTGGGTGTCAAAGTTCAACTTTTACACAACAAGTATAACTTAACAAGTTTTACACAACATGTTTACCTAATGTCTTTCTTAACTGACAAACTAACTTTGTTTTCCTTGTAATCACAGATAATGAGGAATGCACGTATTGCAAGATGGAAGAAGAGGCATTGCAAGCACCAACCAAGCTGGAAGAGGGTCTGCAAGCTGAAATCAAGTAGGAAGAGGCATTGCAAGCACCAACCAAGGTGAAAAAGGCTCTGCAAGCTCAAATCAACCAAGAAGAGGCAATGCAGTAAAATTTCAAGTTAGAAGAGGCACTGGAAGGACCAACCAAGCTGGAAGAGACACTGGGAGGACCAACTAAGGTGGAGGAGGCACAGGAAAGATCAACCAAGCTTGAAGATGCAGCCATAATCTAGTTTAATATATTATTATGACAGTTTATGAAACTTATTATGACACTTTACTTATTTTGTTATTTAAGTACTTTATAGGGAATTGACAGGTATATGGTAAGTCAGTTGTCCAAAAAGAAGGAATTGCTTTGTGGGGAATTGACAGGTATATGGTATAGTTTTGTGGATTTTATGGAGTTGGGGATTGACATAGATTTTGAAGTTGAAATTGCTTATTTTTTGGAGTTGGGGATTGACAGAGCTTTGGACTTGGTATATCTTGTTTTTGAAGTTGGTATAGCTTATTTTTTTGGGTTGGTATAGCTTTTAGACAACTGACTTACTAAACTAAATGTAATACTCTGAATTTTAATGCTAAACGATATGGTATGTTTTTTGGCTTTCTTTGTTTGTATGGTATGTTTTGTGGACAATTGATGGTTGTTATTCAAAATGAATTTGCAAAGTTGATAACAAGTATTGGTATGTTGTCAATGGCTGTTTGTCAATGCAATAGTCATATAGGTCTAAGAATAATTAATTCCATTAAGAAACTATAGATTTTTTTGGTACACCACATTCATTCATTGATAACAAAACAGAAGTAATGAATGCATACCTTCACTATACAACAAGAAACAAAAGAAAGAATACAAGACATCAACCTATTAATGTAATCAGAACTGAGAAAAATGAAACCATTAGACATGCATTGATAAGCAGCTTCATGAGTCCAAGGGTTTTTTCAAACATTGCAAATTGAGACCTTATCTCACCAATTTCAAACCTTAGCTCACCAATTTCAAACCTTATCTCACCAATCTCAGACCTTAGCTCACCAATCTCAGACCTTAGCTCACCAATTTCAAACCTTATCTCACCAATCTTAAACCTTAGCTCAGCAGTCTCAGAACTTATCTCAACAACATGTACCATAATCTCAGCAAATTCATCTTCTTGGTTACATGTTGTAGCAAAGTCCACCACTTCCTCGGTAATGCAACTGATTGGATTGCACCATTCCCAAACGCCACAAATTCTAGTTAGACAAACATAATACAACTTCCCCTTATTGTTATAATCATTAAAACTTGAGACCTTAATTAAAGATTTTGATTTACATTTGCAATACAGATCCCTGTACCTTAAATCACCCAAGCTCGAAGCTTTTCCCTTTATACTTGTAGACATGTTTTCAAAAAGGAAAATCCAGATATTTAAGCCCTAATTTCAAGAACAAACCCCACTAACCTGTAACCCAAAATTCAACCTTTAATTTGTATATAAAATCCTCCAAAAACGTACCTAAAATTTTGAGCCCAAAGTTGCAAATGAAGTATTTTCCATATTCGTCGTTTTTCTTCAAATTCTTCACACAATCTGATTCTTCTTCTCCAAAACGTATCCCCACAAGACTTGATTTGTAGATGAACAAAATGTACCCAAAGGTTTAAGCCCTAAGTTGCAAATGAAGTCTTCTCCATCTTCATCGTTTTTCTTCAAATTCTTCAAACAATCTTCTTCATCATCTTTTCCAAAACTTACCCAGAAGACTTGATTTCCAGATAGATGAACTCAATCACGGTTGAAGAATGGAGAGCAGCTCCCAGATTTGAGCCCTAATAATGAACAAAAAATAGGCCGTTCCTTCTCACAACGGTTGTGTGTATATATATAATATCATATATATATATATATATATATATGTATATATATATATATCAATTGGTAGGGACAAGGGTATTATGGGGATTTTAAATAAAATTTGTACATGATGTCAACACATTCCGTCCTTGACTGACATTGACTCTAACAAAAGGAAGGTCCATGTAGGATATTTTCATTGTTAGGGGAGGTCCGAGTAAATTCCCAAACCACAAGGGAGGTCCGTGTAATTATGACAAACCATAGGGAAGGTCTACATAAATTACCCTAAAATTAACCACCTATAATCAGATTTCAAGAAGACCTGTCAGCTATCCATGTACACCAAGAACAATCATCAAGCAATTATCACTGGAAAGCATATGGAAATGTACAAGGTGATGCTAAAAATTTCATAAAACATGAAATTACAACAACTAAAATACTACCAAAATGAATTTAAGTTGAATATTGAATCATCCAACTAAGCACCAAAGGCGGATGGAGGGGTGGGCCTAGCCCACCTAAAAAAATAAATAAATAAATTTACCATACTAATATTAGCCCAACCCAAAAAAATAAATAAAAAAATAAAAAATAAAATAAAATAAAATAAAATATTAATAGTATTAGCCCACCCAATCAAGCCCAAGTCAACTCAGCCACCATACTAAAATAAAGGCCCAAACCAAATAAGCCCATGGATGATGGGCCACCAGAGAAAAAAAAAAATTAGGACAAATCATTTATGTTTAATATTAGCCCACCCCAACGAGAAATCCTAGATCCGCCCTTGCTAAGCACCCATCAAAAGACGGTCATTTTCTTTCAAATTGCACTTTAAAGAAATTCAAAAAAACCTTGTACGAGCCACTTGTACATGAATTTGAATGTTTAAGCAACAGTCACTCTAAAAAGTAATCCATCAGAAAACCTTGTGCACAAGCCATCAAACACATTAGAGCACTGTGTCATAGATAAAGAAAAAAAGGTTACAAGTACCTCTTAAAAATTTGATGGCTAGTGTCTTTTAAGAGTTCAGTAGCTTAATGTTTCATCTAAAACATGAGAAAACATCACCAAACACAAACCACATCTCAAATCTGATTTAATGGGAAACTCACCCACTCAAACTCCACCAATAAAGCAAGAGTGCAAGTTAAGAAACCCAAACAGCCACTTAAAGGTTATCAAAGCCGAATCACTAAAAAAAAAATGTTATGGCTTTCAAAGAGATTCAAACCCTCAAATAACTGCATACACAATTGCAGTTATTTGAGGAAGAAGAAGAAGAAGATGTCCCTCCTATTATCGGAGAGTATTCTACTTGCCATATAGAAACAAAGGTTCAGTAATCACTGGGTGCAATAGTAACTAACTTTAACTACTTCATAAGAACTAATAATGCAGCAAAGGGATTCGTTGGAGGATGGGGCCCAAGCGGTATATCATTAACTCGAGATTGATTTTGGCTCAGATACCATACTAATATAGATGTTCCATGCTAGAGAAACTTACGCATGTATCCCAAGCGTTGGATTTACTACATCCTCAAAGCCGAATACACTTGGATTATGACTTAATATTCATATTGTTAATATCCTTCTTTCATTTTAAAGAAAAAATTCTGTTTTTATGTAATATAAAATTTTCAACAAGGGCTATTCATGTTGAAGCAATAATGTAACAAAATCAACATAATAAGAGAGTTCTATGTGAAATTGTATAACAATCTTGGATTATCAGATTTGCTATGTGCCTGTCCAATCAGACATGTTACACGCTTATCTGACAATCATATTTAATTGTTGTTTGTTCAACATGGGTGCTTCACAGTATTTAGAAGAGCCTGTGTAACATAGAAGCTAACAAGTGGAAGAAAAAAGAAGATGTAAAAGAGAAGAAGGAACGTAGAATACAGCTTCATCCTTGGGATGGTCTGCTCCTCTAAAGACTGAAAAAAATGCTATCAGTTAATACAAGAGATACAGATTGGTTAAAGACATAGTCTATTCTCTACTAAGGTCAGGAAAGGTGGCCTTAGGATAGTGTTTTACACCATTTCAAATTTCCAGTGAGGTTTCTAAAAAGTGTGACACCAGTAGTTTACATACCTTAAGTACTCACAGTAAGTTGGACTATCAGGAATTCCATAGAGTACAAGCCCACAATAACATATAAGTACACAGAAGAAAGGAAGAAACTCTCCATTTTCATAGATGACATACTCTCATTCTACCATTTTCCAGCTACAGTTCCAAACATTATCCCTTTTAACATATAGCAAGAAAGGGCAATATCAACATATATAGTAGCTTTCATTTGTTAGGCCGCCAATTACAGCGGACCGTTCTGAGAACAAAAAGCATAATAAACTAAGAAGTATGAGAAAAGATAACTGCTATTGGTATATGGTATACGGACCCCTCTCAGACAAACCCTACGAAAATCATTATGCTTCCCAGTCTTCCACTGTTTTTAAGAATTTAAAACAATAAACTTAGAATGACCCAAAAATTTCAAAACAAAGAATCCCCAAATAAGCAGCATATTTTCAAAATCGTAACCATTCACATTCACCAAAATTATAAATTTGGCCCCCAAGCCCTAGCTGCAAAACCATCAAACTGAATCAAATTCTACCTTATAATCACATAATTACATAAAATCAAACAAACCCAGTCCAATTCACACAAATATAGTGAACCTAGAGCACAAAGATTACATGAATTCAAACAATTGAAGTAGCATATATATATATATGTGTGTGAGAGAGAGTTTTAGAGAGAGAAACCTTTTTCTTCCAACCAGGAGGAGCAGGAAGTTCCACGGAAACTACATCTTTGGAACCGCTCTGGGTTACCTCGGCCGAGCTCGCCATTTCTACCTATCAAATTCAAACCTCAAATTACAAGTTGTATTAGGCTATTAGCACGATGAAACCAAACACCTATATGTGCGTGTGTATATATATCTCTCTCTATGTTATTTCTTACCTCCTTTTCTTCCGTTTTTATGTTTTTAAGTTTTTGTAGATTATGAGAAAAAAATATGTATATATCTATAACAAACGAGCGAGGAAGTGCGTGCAAAGACACTCGTCCAGATTAGTCCCGAGTGAGGAAGTGTGACACTCGTCCAGATAAACGAGGGGGTGACCAATTTTCTTTGGTTCTTGGCAAACACAAATTCTCCAGTTCGGATCATTCACACATATTAACCCGTTTCTTAATATCCGTCCTTTTGTGGCACCCATTCACACATATGAACCGTCATGCTTTATGCATGACATTTAAAAATATAAAACCTTCAAACTACATATATAAAACCGTCAAACTATATATATATATATATATATATATATATATATATTTATATTTTAGTTATTTTAATTTTTATATTTTACCAGTGTGATAAAAAAGAAATTAAAATATACACTCACTTAACCAAACAAATAGAGAGAAGTAATGTTTTGCAGTATTGAATCTATTGGCACCATATATGTAACTATTCTAAATGTTATGAAACAAATTATTCTAGTTTAAGTTGACCCCAAGAAGAATAAATAAATAAAATATATCTTAACATAAATTAAAATTTTAAGCTCTTCTTTGTCCCCCTTTTTTTTTTTCTTTTTTTTTTTTTTTTTTTTTTCTTTTTTCATGATATAAGGTACAGTATTTTGTTTGGGTAATAGGGCTGGGCTATCAAGGTTGGGGGACCATAGTGGTTGGGCCTTCTTTCTTCTTGGGGCCATATATCCTACCCAGATAAGTTTTCTTAGTTGGGCCTTCTTGTTGTACTAATGGGTTCAAATGGGCTAAATTTGAAACAGTAACATTTCGTCAGAAGAAAATTTTGGCACGGTTTTCAAAAAGTATTGATATATATATATATATATATATATATATATATATAAATAAAATTAAAATACCTTTTTTGTGGAATATTAAGACTATTTTTTATATTTCTTAAAAATATCAGAACTTTGAAAATTTTAATTTTCTTAAATTAAGAATAAATTTTTATTAATTAAAAATCTAAAAAGAATAGGAATCCATGATCAACCACAATAAATTATTGAAAAGGCAAAACACCCGGGAAAAAAAAATTACTATGGCTGTGAGGATCTATTTTTGCAGGAAAACACCGCATAGATTTTCCAAGTCCGAGTTGCTTTCTTCACCCTTGAGCTCATGTATTCATCGTATATTTATACTCGAGTTCGGAGCGACTAACATGTGAGTTGATTTTTCATTATAAAAATCAAAAAGAAAAAGAACAACCTTTTTCTTTTCTCTTGGTCAAACATAATGTCTCTAATGCAATTTTATTGAATGGTAAAAAAAAAAAAAAAAAAAAAAAAAATTAGAATGATTTTTTTTAGGGTAAAGTGCAATAAACCTCCTTAAACTATTGGCCAATAACACAAAACCCCCTTGAACTAAGTAATGGCCCTAAACTATTTAAAAAGTGTAATTTAAGGACAAAGTCAACAGTCACCGTCACCGGAGGTTATCGAAAATATTAGATTACCAAAGTGCCTTCGAGTAAAACCACATCGTTTCACTATTTTAATAACTGTTGTTGATGATGTGTCAATTGCAATCAGAACGGCCAATAGCATTGTGACACAACATCACCATATCACAATAACCAACCAACATTACTTGCCAAACACCACTTTATACTTAACGAAACACCATCTGTACAGAAGCTAGCCAAACACCACCCATACAGAGCGCTATTTCTCTCTCTACAATCTCCCTTACTGTCACGGGCCTAGAGATTTGGCGCAGCGGCACGGCCCGTGCGGCACCAAGGCGTTGCTTCAGCTCGCGCAAGCGCCCTGGTCAGCCACCGCGACCTGCCCTCCCAAGGATACATGCTGACTGGTTTCGGCCTGCCATGGCCTCGTCAGGGGAACGGCTCCAGCTCCCGACCAGTTTGTGCAGGGATGGCCAACTCCCTTCTTCCTAGTCAAGTCCAAGACTAGCGACAAGCACCTCGAACTGAACCGAGTCGACCTGCCTGAACTCTGAAGAGGTACCATCCTGTGCTCCTGCACGCCCCTTCCCTGGAATCATTCCCAGTCAAACTCTGCTCTTTGCCAACCAGCATGCGTGTCTTCCATCCTCCAAGCGTCTTAGGAATCACTTCGTGACATTCTCCCCCACCCAAATCCTGCGACGTCCTCGTCGCAGTGCGGCGCTTCACTACTGCGTCCACTCCCTTCCAAGTCTGCCTCCATGCGGTATGCTCGCCTTCCCACCATCGCTTCCTTGTGCAGCTCCCTGCACTGCACTCGCCCAATGATAGGCCTCGGACCAAGGGGACGTCCACTCCTCAAGGACGTGACTCTTCTCCGTCATGCCGCCTCCGCGACATCCCGAGCAAGCAATGGCCTCCTGCCGACTTGATGCTCGCCCTTCACCATGGTTTGCATCACCCAAGGACTAAGCACGAACTTTGGTGCGCGCGGCCCTCCGGCCCTTCAATGCGCAACTTCAACGGACGCCTCTTCCTGGGGAGATGGAGGCTCTCCCCCCCAACTGCATTGATTCCTCCACATCGACGCAACTTCAATGCACCGTCTTCATTCTCAGACCCCTCCCGGACCGACAAGGGGGCACCCCACCGTGCTTTACCCCAAGTCCTGCTCTGATACCATTTGTCACGGGCCTAGAGATTTGGCGCAGCGGCACGGCCCGTGCGGCACCAAGGCGTTGCTTCAGCTCGCGCAAGCGCCCTGGTCAGCCACCGCGACCTGCCCTCCCAAGGATACATGCTGACTGGTTTCGGCCTGCCATGGCCTCGTCAGGGGAACGGCTCCAGCTCCCGACCAGTTTGTGCAGGGATGGCCAACTCCCTTCTTCCTAGTCAAGTCCAAGACTAGCGACAAGCACCTTGAACTGAACCGAGTCGACCTGCCTGAACTCTGAAGAGGTACCATCCTGTGCTCCTGCACGCCCCTTCCCTGGAACCATTCCCAGTCAAACTCTGCTCTTTGCCAACCAGCATGCGTGTCTTCCATCCTCCAAGCGTCTTAGGAATCACTTCGTGACATTACGCTCTCGTTCTCTGGCAGTCACGACATCACCGATCAATTGCAACCTCCGACATTGCCGACCAACCCACGACCATCACCGGTGACAACTACAGACGACTGCTGATATTTTGATTTGGACCTGATTTGGCAAATAAAATAAAATAAATCGCGAAATCAACCTCAATTAAATCATTGATGGAGACGGAGTGAAGCTCTGAATTTTGTTCTTGTCGTCGTTGTTGTTCTCTCCCGGCAGCCATGGCTACTGTTGCTCTATGAATCTTTAGATTCCGAAGCCACCATGGTTGAGTTGTCCACTGTTGTTGGGTTTGAATATTTGGGTAAAAAAGCCTTTTTTTTGGAGAATTGAAGGTGATGATGGATTGGTGTGGTATGGGGATTATTTTTCTTTTTACGTGGGTGATGAGTTTGCAGATTTGTTGGTTTGGAAAACTCCATCAGCCAGAGTCCATGATTTGATTGTGTTCAGTTGCAATTTGTTTTCCTCTAAAATTCAATTTTTTTTTCATCGTGATTAATGATTCAACCATTTTCAATCTTCTAAGAAATAGCAAAATAAGGATTGAAAGAAGTTATATTATGTGTTTGTATATATATTCATGTCTTCCAGCGAGATGCTTTGTTGGTGAGCAAAAAATATTGAGGATTTTTCACTTTATGTATCTCTCTCTCTCTCTCTATATATAAACATATATATGCATCATTTGTTTGCTCAACTTCTCCTTAGTTTTAGGGTTTTTTTTTTTTAATTTCATACTACAACGGCAATAAGGGTAATCTTGCCATCTTGAAATTACAACAAGGTCACGTGCCAAATTTTTAAGCAAAACCTAATGGAACAGTGTCACCTGGTGTTTTTTTGCAAAAATTGGAATAGTTTAGGGGGTTTTTTCAAAAATTTGAAGTTCAGGGAGGTTCTTTGGGAGAGAGAGTAAAGTTCGGGGGGTCTTTTTGCATTTTACCTTTTTTTTTTAATATATGTATATATATACAAAAGAGAAATTCATGAAGTGTAAATATCTTATATAAGAATCTATCCACTACATGGATGTACTTAGGTTTATTAAATAGTGTGTGGACAAGGTTTAAATTTTGTCCGGAGGTTTGGTTGTTGTCACTGGGATTGTGTTGTTTCTTTCAACACATTAATGCATGCAACTTCTAGGTTTAGATTTATTATTATGGAATAAATCAGACATTTTCTTTTCTTTTCCGGGTAAATAATAAAGTGATAGTATATATAGAAAGAAAAAAAGTGTACAATTAATATACAATGGGCATACGTACCCTAGCTAGGAGCCTAACAAGAAAGAAAAAAAAAAAAAAAATAGGTCAAAGCCAACAAGGGCAACAAGAGGAATAAATAAACCTCACCAGCCAGCTAACAAGAAACCAAAAGCAACAACAAAAAACAGAGCCCAAAACCAAAGACCCTAGCTAATTAAGCAAGCAAGAAGAGTACGTTGGGAACAAAAAAAATCATTTGATATATATATATATATATATATATATATATATATATTCTTTATTAGGTCAATATTCACACACATAAATACACATTATGGGACTCAAGCTTCTCACCTCCCCACTCACAACGCTATCATTGCTTTTGGCTGACTCAGGATTGATCATTCTCTTTCACTCGAACTCGCAACACTTTCGTTGCGGCACTAACTCTGATATCAACTATAACGGGTTGGATGTTTGTTCTAATTTAAATGTTTAAATTGTTAGGTAATATAGTGTTGCATACCCATTCATATATACATAATCTTTTTTCTCATTCGAATTGGACATGAGAGAAGAACTTCCAACATATAGCGACTTGCAAATTAAAAATGTACCACTAACAATATAAAGGTAGATTCCCTTCTATTGAATGCTTAGTTATATATAAATTGGATACCGAAGAAAGGCATATCTTTATATATTTAAAGTAACAAATAATTCTGAAAAATAACGAAACTTGGCACATCCACGTACTTTATTTCTGTAAAGACTTGATTTGAATCATTAATCTTCTATTTTGCACACCAAACATTTTTTTACTTTCTCAATTGATCTCTTCATTAGCAATATTTATAATTTTTGATTGAGCACAACTTAAATTAACTTTACACATGCTGAAGTACATAGCCCT